CGTCCGGGCCGGCCGCCTGCCCTCTCTGCGCCAGGGGGAGGGGGTGATCCCCCGACCCGGGTTAGTGCGGACCCCGCTGGGTCCATCACACTTAGCATCTGTGTTGCCCAAGCCTGTCCTACTATTGAGATATTTCTAAGACCTCTCAGGTCTGCACGTATCACCTTGTCACATTTAGCTTTCCTGTCTGATCACTTCCCTTGGCTATTGTATTACTCTATTGTTTTGTGGTGGAAGGGGGATTGCAAGACATTGCCTGCCTGTTTGAAATTCTTCACTTGTGAATATGACTAGTTGTCAGACATGGAACACTGGATTCCATTAAAGCTGTACACTTGAGCGGCTGCTCGAGAGATTGCTAATCAGGTAGGTGGCATTTGAGATCACCCACAGCTAGATTTTTTGTTTCCACTAGTGGTGTACATTCACGCATTCCTCAATGCACGTAACATGTATTCCACACCTGAATGGGGGAAAAAATCTGTAAATGGATGGAAAAGGTTAGAGGAAACCTTGATGGGACCCCTTGTATCCATTCTAAGCTAATTTGTGAGTTGCTAGTGTAACTACCATTCTGTTGCTAGTTGGTTCATTTTGAAATCTCCATAAGCTTAGAGAAGTAACTGATTTTCATTGTCAAATTTAGTTCTTATCTACCTTTTGCCACAGTCTTTAAAGAATTTCTCAAGCCTGTATGGTCTTTTCAGTTGTGCGCTTTGGAAGAAAATGCACATCATTCAGGTTTTCAGCCCACTGCAGAACAAAATACCTTACACCCTTGACTTACGCTTTTAAATATTCAGTTTACTGATACCTATTAGAGGCTAGATCTAACCTCACTGTGGGCTGGGTATAGCCCTTAGTGTACATTCTCTAAAAATACTAACTGGGCAGGATTCTCATGCCTGAGTCTGTGAAATTTGCAGAGCTCCTCTAGTTTTCATGATTGGTTTGAGGGTTTGAATCCTTCTCTTTAATCTTTTTTCAGATTTGGGGATTTCCAGAAGTGGACCTCTTTACCATACCTAAGAACAAAAAATGCCATCTAGTATTTTCAGTGTCTGTGTCTAGGGTGCAGATCCCTGCGGGGGGTGCCTCTCTCTTCATTTAGATGAAGTGGTTTTTTTGTAATGTGTTTCCCTTGCGTCCCTGAATCTCAGTTGTGGACAAAATCAGATAGAACAAGGTCTAATTGTCCTGATGTGGTTTAGACAGACACTGTTTCTCTATCTATTTCACCTAGGTCTTTGTCTGCAGATAAATCTTCCAGTCATTCCTCAGCTCCTGTCCCAGAATGTCAGTAGACAGCTGCATTCCGATCTGAGCATTCTTGGCCTCAAGCCATGGCTCCTCAGAGGTTCATGGGGGTTAGTCTGTCTGTTCTGCAGAGGTATACTGTAGTAGGAAATATTTTACCAGAAAATCTTCAAGAAGTGGAGAAGATTGTCACTAGTGTGACTCCAAAATGCTGCCCCTGAAACTGTCTCACTTCTGCTGGCTCTGGAATGCAGTTTCCAGTTGAAGAAAACAGGTCTATTGTTTTCTATTTTCAAGGTTTGTTTGGCTGCATTAGTAGCTTTTCATGCCATCGTTGAGGGTTTCTCAATGTTTGCCCATCCTACAACTGTAAAGTCATGAATGATGTGGATAATCTCTTTCCACCCACAAAAGTACCCATTGATCTTGGGACCTGGATTTGGTTCTTAAAAATCTCTTTTGTTGAACTGATGGTAACCAGTCCCTTAGTAAATCTGTCCATGAAAACAGCCTTCTTAGTGACTGTGACTGACTGAAAGACTAGCCAACCTGTGTATGACCCATAACAACAAGAGTCATTACAATTGTAATCAAGATAATCCACTTTATATCACGAAAATGTTAATTAGGCTAACAATCCTCAATTAACTTTATTTTAATAAGGGTAAAAGAAAAGTTGTCTGATTTACCTATATCTTGTTAGAAGAAACCAAATTAGCTTGTAGATTCTAATTCTTAGTCTTATAATGCTATATTACTATAATCAATTGTCTATAGATCAAGAAAGCTATTCACGTTTAAATGTTGCTCGAGAGATGATAATGTTGTCCTCATATCTCACCGAAACTTGTAATTCCACAGTGTGAAACATCTATAAACTCTCTTGGTAGTTTAAAGAACATTACCTTTGAATGGCCTATTTCAGGCCCATATGCAGATTTTTACCCAAAAGGTGCGCACACACCCTCCACCCTCTATGGTCATTCATAGTCTGCCACGGGGCCGATTCCAGACGGTCTGGAAAAGACAAAGGTGGCACGCTGCCAGCCTCCCTCCCTTGTGCTCTGGCCAACTGGGGGAAGCCTGGTATTGACTCCCCCCTTCCTTTTCCAGGAAAGGGGGGGCAGGGCTGAGCCTTGGGGACAGAGCTGGAGGGAGAACATGAGCATTTTTGCCCCCATGTTGTCTTGTTTTGACTTGTTCAGTGTAAGCATAGACAACAGGGCTGGGGGCATATTTTTAATCTTTTAAGACTTTGACAATGAAATATTACATTGTTTTAAAGATGCAAACTTGACCTGGTTTTGTGTTCAAAGGCTGTGTCTGTGAAAAGCTCTGTGGTTGTCCATTCAACAATAAAGAAAAAAAATGTGTGCCATAGAACTTGTGAATTCACAAACTGCTGTGTGTGTTTGTATTTAATTGTTTACATTTAACATCCTATTTAGCATGGAATGTTACAATTTTGGTATTAGACTCAACAATCATGGGCAGGTGTATAACTAATATTGTTTCAGTTTGGGACTTTTTATTAAAAAATAAAAAATACCGATGATGTGCATTCTTTATGATTGCTTTATTGATGTATTCAAAATGTATTACAGGGCATTCAAAATAGAATTGTTTTTGCATTACACAGTTTTAAAATAACTAGCTGCAATCCCAGTATGAAAGTTTATTTGCAGTTGTGTATTTTCATGTCAGTAGAGCTAAATGCATAAAATGTGTATAGTCTGCATAGTCTTGATATTTTACTCTGAGTACTGGGGTGATTCATACAGGAGTACCTGAATACCATATATCTCTAGTCATATACAAATTTAAGGATAACAATTAATAGAAAAATACAAGGCATCTTCGCCATTCATGTTTAGTGTAATATATAGCCAGTCATAAGTTATTAAAAATATACACTACAAAAAGCCTGATAAATATGATCCCTTCCCATTTGTAACTGCTTATCATTTTACAATCAAGGGAACAAAATGAGAACAATGAAAGAACCCCCATATTGAGAGCTGAACAAGAAAATTTTGTTTGGTAACTAGCTTACCTCCGATAAATCAGGTTATCAAAAAACATTTGGGTCAAAATGTATTGTCCACTTCTGATGCTTGATAGATGCCTTACAGTGAACTGTTAAATAATTTTAACCACATACATATGTGTGCAATGTAATGTACACAATGTAATGGAAGAGAAAGTTTTAAAAAACTGTTTTTCATATTTTAAAAATAACATGAAGGTTTAAATCTGTTTTAAGTGGCTTCATAAATAATTACTCTAAAAGTAATCAGCTGCTGTCTCCTGTACCTATCTTTCTTCCTACTTAACTCCCCTCTACCTGGCTGAATAACTTAATATAGACTATAGATGGTCTGAGCTCATTTTGGATGCCAATCTGTATGTCCTTAATTCCAACTGAAGGCTCTAATCTAGTCTCTATGGCCCTGCCTGGAACTTGGTCCAATCATTCATACTTGTAAAAACACAAGGTAAAATACTACTAAATAAGTACGGTAGCATTTTACTCCCACATGTAAATGATTACTCACTGTGCAAGGCAGTGGGTGAATTTACTGGGAATTTTGCCATTGTATTTAGTAATAGTCGGAAGACAATTTAGCCAAAGCACCAAGCCCCATGTTGTCAGAACTATTTAGGCATCTATCTCCCATTGAAATTAATGAGAGTTAGATGTCTTTGTAACTTCTAGGCCTAAATACTTTATAGAATTGCTCCTTGGGCTTTGGTTTCTTTTGAAACCAGATTTACCAGCCAAATTAGAATATAATTCGCTGTAGAAGGCTCTCATTCAATAGAACAAGACTGTTTTGCTTTAAACGGATACACATTTTTACAATCCACCCCTTTTAATAGTAGCTGAAGTAGATGTTGCACAAATGGAACACTGACTGTACTTCTGTGAAAACTACAAATTCCCCATCTAGTCCTCTCATCACAATAGTGAGAGCACCTTCTGGAAGAAATGAAGAAACTTAAAAGATATATATTGTGTACAAGGCGTTAGAAACCTAAAACTATATTAATTTTCATTTGTGAGGGGACATTCAACAAATGCCAGCCCACAAATATTATCTTGCATTTTCTTTATATACATACAGCTGATACCTGGTACTTTAAGTGTAATGATGTTTGCTTAACTTTAGATTTAAAGTCGGGAGTGTTAATATACATTTAAAAGAATAACTTTCCGCAAAATCCTGTAGTCCCTAATCAAGCAAAATTTGCAGTGAAGTCAGTGGAAGCTTTTATCTGAGTTTAGAAAGCAGAGTGTAACTCCTTGTATCTTATCCCAAGACTTGAACTGTATATTAAAAGAATGGGATATTTGCACAGTAGAAAGACCTTCCCAGCTGTCCTGATCTCATTTCACCAAAGTGGCATCCAACAGCCTTTCCTCTACTGTTTAGAGTCCAAAAAATCTCTACAAATGCCTCTGATAACGTCGGGCACAATCTGCTCCAATCCTGTGAACTCCCTTGTGAAGAAATTGTGTGACTCTTTCGGTTCAGAGGCCATGTCTTTGAGATCATCCAGTGGTGCCCAAGCAACACCAATAGAGAAGACTGTAATACCTATAGTGTTATAATAAAAAGAGATAACATGTAAACCAAGATGCTTGTAGATACAAGAAAAACAGTGCTCCAGATTTACATTTGTTAAATTAATTTGGACCAAAACAAAAGGTCATTATATTCAGCCAGCCAAAAACAATGAGTGTGTGTCTAGACTACAGGGTTTCTTCGAAAAAAGTGGCCTTTTTTCAAAAAAAACTTTCCTCTGTATCTAGACTTCTGCTGCATTCTTTCGAAAGTAAATCAAAAGAACGCGGCTGTTTTTTTGACCGCGGAAAACTTCGTTTTACAAGGAAGAATGCCTTTTTCCAAAAGTGCTCTTTTGAAAAAAAGGCGCTATGTAATGCAAACTCTGCTTTTTCAAAAGAGAACATCCAGACTGCCTGGCTGCTCTCTTTCGAAAAAGCGGCTTGCTTTTTCTGCAAGTACTGAAGGCTTGCAGTCTAGACATAGCCTGGGGCTTTTACCACTGGACACTGATTGCTAAGTATTTGGAACTATAGGAGATCTTTTGCTTTAATTTGAACATGTTTTCAGCAAGAAGCATGGGGTTATTTATAAGGCTAGTATTTCAGATACTCTTATAATGCTATCTTTGAAAGAAGTAGTGACATGATTAACTTTTGGGCACAGGGAGTGGAAGTCTGATCAGCTGTGTTTTAGACACCCATGTAATCATTGGACTGTAAGACTGAACTATTATTGTGCTCTGTTCTCTCAAATGACAATAGTTCAGAGAGGCTTTTTGGCAAAACCACTGCTGCCACCCCACAGTAGATGATGATGGCAGGAGTCAAGTTTAATACAATACAGGGAATACTTCTTGCTTGAGATGACCGCATATTTTTCTTTCAGACTTTGAATTTCTGATAAGCTGCTTTTATTTATGTATCTAAAATTGCAAAATTTATACTGTGCATAATGAGACAAGAAAATAGCTCATGTGCAATGCCTAGAAAAATACCTGAGACATTGTGGCTGTAGTTTTGGTGAGTAAAGTGCAAGACATTTTCCAGCTTGAAAATAGGATATTTGGTTCATCTGCTGTAATGTCAGCTGCTTCAGATAATTTTCTTTAAAAGTCCCATAACATTATTTATAATAGGTGGGGTTGTTTGGTGTTCAGAGCACAGGAGAGGGAATGGAGAAGTCTAATTTCCATGTTGTGTGGCCCACCCTAGCCAGCACAGATTGCTTGCAGCCAGGTAAACCTCTGGTAAGCTAAGGGGTAGGATATTGATTGTGGGGTGGAAGCAGGAAGCCTGAAAAGGAATTGAGTGTATGACCCAGAGAAGAAGTGTTTTGCTACACAGGGGTTTTTAGGTACAGAACTTGTTGGAGTCGCAGTTGAAGATTTCTGACTAGGGAAGCTGCCTGCTGCTGTTTCTACTATGTTCAAGGAAAGAAGCTTTTATGTGTCTAATTTGTAACTAAGCAAGATTGCATCAAGAATATACCCAGCTCAGATCATTGATTATTTTTTTTCATCCTAACAAACAACTTTGAAGGCCTTGAATTGTGGCTAATGGCTTGGGCCAAAGAAGCAACAACACTTAACTTACTGGGATAAAATGATACCTAATTCATTAATATCTACAAACTACTTTGAGCTCTTCCAGGGAGAGAGACTACAGAGGTGTGAAATGTTTCTTTCTTTGGGTTTGTTATTTACCTGCTTTGTGTGCTGAAGCGGCAGGACCTCTAACGTCGTCATAAGATTGACCATCGGTCAGAACAACAAGGAAATTTTTGTTGGGTCCATCTTTCACAGGTCCAAACACGTTTCTGGTTGTGAAAGAAATGGCATCACCAGTAGCGGTGCCACCACTCATGTAACGAATGCCCCTCACAGCAGAGAGAACCTTCTCCTTTGTGGCATAGTCAGTGAAGCTGAATTCCATGCGCTGATCATAAGTGAACTGCACAGCTGCAATTTTGGAACCAATATCGGAGATCTCAAAAGTTTTGGCAACATTACTGATGAATTCAAGCATGAGGCGGAAGTTGCTGTCTCCAACACTGCTAGATCCATCTATCAGAAAAGCTATATTGACAGAGTTGTAGCAAGTTTTGCTACACAGCATCTGCTCGTGAGAACACAATTTTTGGACAAGAGGTTTTACATATTTGGTGGTACCAAACCAGGAAGGTATATGGTAAGAGAAGAAGCCATTATTTCTACAGACAGCCTGTCAAAAAAAATGCATACAGAGATTTCTGTTGTGTACTATTAAAGGTGTATCTACATACTTTAATTTAAAAGTCTGATAGGAATCTATGGTCTCATTTCCTTCCCCCTCTCCCCACCCCAAATGTTGACCACCTGGAATTCCATTTGAAGTTAATGGGAGCTGTAGATGCTAACGGTCTCTAAGAGTTAGCAGTATTCATAAAAAGATAAAGGTAAAACGCTAAAAGTTTTAATTAGACATTTCAAATGTTCAACAAAGAATTAATGGGATACACAAATACATAAAGCATGAAGGATTCTAGATTTTGCTTTCAGAGTATAATGACCTAATTTACTGTGGAGGCTCATGATTTTGAAAATGCAATTTTGTATGTTAATTATAGATTATAATCAGATGTCTGTATGAAATGACAAACCAGGTTAATATCTACTTGTTACTCTTTATGCTAGAGAACAAGGATGGACAGAAAATTGAGAGAGAAAAGTATGTCCATAGATATGTGTAGGAAACCTGGCTCTAATAAAACCTTCATTTTTAAATATCCTTTTCAACATTTTAATGAAGAGTCTCATGTAATTGAATGGTATGAAACCAATGGGGCTATATAAAAATTACAGCAAACACCTTAAATAGTGATATCCTTCCTCCAGAGTGCTTAAATCATCCTCTAGAATTCTATATCAAGAACACTTATTCTGTAAGATAATTGAAGAACTCTTTTTAAAACTCCTACAGTGTTTTCAAATGGAGGTCAATAGACCCCTGTGGGTTTGCAAGGGAACTCCAAAGGATCTGCAGGCACCACTAATCAACTCTTCCTCTTCTATCCCAATGCTGTCTATGCCCAAGGCAGAATCCCTACCTGCTCTGGTCCCCTGTGGCTGCTGGAAGCAGCCACCAGGTCCCTATACTTCTAGATCAGGGGTTCTTAACCTTTTTACCTTCATACCTCCCCTGAAAGTGAACTTCATGTTCACACACCCCTGGGAGCCATTTTGTGCACAGCCTAGCCCGCCCTTCACCTGACAGGAAGCTAAGGGGCATGGGTAGGACTATAAGAACTCTGCCAGGGAGCTCAGTTGGGGCCCAGTCTCTGAGGCTGATGAGGCTGAGACCTGGCCCGGGCCTCCCACAGCTGCCTTCCCTTAGGCCAGCGAAGGCTACCCTCTGACCTAGAGGAACCCAAGGCTCTACTGGTGCCTGGCAATTCGGAGGACCGGCCTGAGCTGAAGGCCCGGCTCAAACCCCGAGGCCTGCCTGAACCCTGGGACCTGGGGAAGCAGCTGGACACTGGATGCAGCTGTCCAAGCTAATTCCCAAGTCCGAATGCTGGTGGCGCTGTGGGGTGAGTGAACCCTGTTACAATGCCTAAATGAATAATATCATCTTTTTACTTTGAACTTTCTCCTAACAAATTTATGTAATATTTGAAGATGAAAGTGGGCAATGCTCGCGTACTGTTATTGTAGTGTGTCATCACATAGGCCTGATTGATTCGCACTGCTATTTTAGTGTGCTGATCTCTAGAAATTAATAAGTTTAATTCATAATATTAATTATGAAGAAATCTAAACTTTAGAATTTTATCCAGTGAGAAGGCAATTGCAATAACTTTTCTGGGAGGCACCTCACACCTCCTCTGTATCCCCTTCACACCTCCCCTGGGGAGGCGCACCTCACTGGTTAAGAACCCCTGCTCCAAGTGGAGGAGTGGCTAGGGATACTCCATCAATGGCCTCTGCCCAAGAGTTGCTTCCATAGTTCCATTGCCCAGGAAATGTGACTAATGGAGGCTGGAGGTGCAAGGGTGGTATGAGGTGTCCCCCTGGCCGCCCCACCTGAGTGCCAGTGCCTCCACTCTCATTGGCCAGAAAATACAACCAATAGGAGCTGTGGAGGTCATGACTACAGGCACATGGGCAGAATGCACAGCCCCCATAGCTGCCCTGAACATGGATAAGCACCACTGGGACCCTGCTTCCCAACTCCCTGCACCAGCCTTTAGCCCCCTCCTGCACTTTAATCCCCTCATCTCGGGCCCTACCCAACAGGCTGCACCCCCAGTCAGAGCTCTCACTTCCCTACCCCAGAAAAAATGAGTAAGTGATAGAGCAGAGGGAGAAGGGATGGAGTGAGAGTGGGTAGGGCCTTGGAACAAGGGCAGGACAGAAGGTACCCAAAAGAATTTAAATCAGCGATGCAAGGATCCCTGTTTTAAGTTTGAGAACTAGTGCTCTGTTTCAGAATGGAAGAAAAGTGGTCATTTGAAATATATAATACCTATGAGTGATGAGTAAATAACAACAAGCACATTGAAGACATTCTCTCATACCTTATCAACAAAGCCAACGTCTTGAACCATTCCCTGTTCCTCAGTTGTGGGTCTTGCTACAGACACAATGAATACATTAACACCAAATTCTCTGGCCATTATTCCAGCTTCTTCTATATCATCTGAGGGCCAGCCATCTATAAAAACTACCACGATCTTGGGAATCCCTCTGCGTACTCCATTTTCCAGAGAGAAGAATCTCTGAGCAGTGTGTTTCAAAGCTTTTCCTAGTTTTGAACAGGAAAAAGACAAGCTGATGAAGCTATTTTAAAAACTGGATTTTCTATACATGTCAAATAGTACTGAAATCTATTTTTTCTATAGCAGGCAAACTGAGGGGAACATTAGAGATTGGGAACACTACCCACCTCTCTACAGAGAAATTTACAAACAGCCAGTGGAATGATTTAGTTGAGCTGTAGGATACGTAATTATAGATATTCAGACAGAACTTTCATAGCTGTTCTGCCAGAATTAATTTAAGAGTTTTTAAAAATTTTGAATGGTTTTTGTCACGCTAACTTGACAGCGGTAGAACACACTAACATGAGTACCATGAACTTCAAAATCATAACTAAAAACATCCCTATTCTTGCTCCAGGATAATTTCCATTACACTGGTTGGTGATACAGTTGCCAGTTTTGTAATATTTAAAAAACAGACCCTCCAGCAGGTGTGCAGGAACCTCCCCTTCCCTCTGAGGACCTGCTCCTGCCCCTCTCCCTTCCCCCAGTCCTCCCTGCTAATCTACCTTTTTCTTCCAAGGCTCCACCCTTCCTCCTTTCCTTCTAGTTAATGCCTCTTTCCTCTTTCCTTCATCACTGATTGCTTTTCCCCCTTGCCTGTGTGGGTCCAGATGGATTCATTTGCAAGCCAAGGCTGGAAGCTATAACCACCTGATGCAAGTAGGAGGTGGCCCTGGTTGAGTTGGGACTGGCCTTGGGTGATGAGTCAGTGCCTCTCCCACCCCACAGTAACCTGACTGATCTGACTGGACATCATCAGGTCCCCTTTTTGATTAGATTTTCCTGTAAAAAAACAGATACCTGGCCAGCCTAGTTGGAGGACTTAGAGCGTCCTAAACTGTAGAATTTTTCAAAAGGACTTTGGAAGACTAAGAGACAAGTTCCTCTTAGTTGGGACAGTGCAAATTATATGATGGTACTATGGATTGATTTATCCCTATATACATGGGTGGGGAGAAGGCATGGCTGGGGGAGGCAAGCACCGAGCCCCACCTCCAGTCCTGCTGAGGCCCCGCCCCCATGGGGAGGTGGGCCAGCCTGCTGTGCACATGCTTGCCCCTGCCAAACACGGGGAGAGGAGAGGAGCAGGCAGATGCATGCTCACTCCAGTCTCCCCAACAGCAGAGGAGGCTGTGCTGTGCAGCCCAGCCTCTACAGCCCCGGAGCACTGGGGGAGGAAGGAGGGTGCTCCATGTGGAATAACCTCTCCAGCCCCGGGAAGGAAGCAGGGTATAGGGCATGCAGCATGGTCCCAGCCTTCCCCACCCCAGAGGAGGATATGCTGCATGACTTGGCCCAGCCCTGCCTCTCCAGTCCCAGAGCATGGGGAGGATGGGTGCTGGGGACAGCAACACTCCATCCATAATGCCTACAGCAGGTGTTTAGGGGGCGGAGTGTGGCCAGGGCTATGCCTGGTGGTTTGGGAAGGCTACCAGGCATCCATGCCTATATAAGAGGAGGTTACTCACTTCAATAGTAACTGATGTTCTTCAAGATGAGTGTCGCGGTGGGTGCTCCCACGTTAGATCGGTGCGCTGTCACCAAACCCTAGATCAGTGATTTCAGAGCAGTGTCCCTGGGGCCACGCCTGTGCATGTCTGGAGCTGTGCACTCCTAGGTAGCAGGCATCGCATATGTGCAAACCTCCCCCGGCTTCGCTCCTCAGTTCCTTTTCTACTCCAGAACGATGCCTGTGAGGAGTCCCAAATTCCGAAGTAGAGGGGAGGAAGAGAGGGTTGAGGAGCACTCACGGGAACACTCATCTCGAAAGAACCTCAGTTACTATCAAGGTGAGCAACCTCCTCCTTTTCTTCAAGAGATATTCCCGTGGGTTACATTAGGTAACTACGTAGCACTTCCTGGTTAGGGAGGTAAGGACTTTGGATCTGGCAGAAATGCAGTGGAAAGGACCACCTTAGTGAGTTTCAGGTTGGAGAGAGGTCCCTGCATAAGTGGGTAGTGCTTTGCAAATGTGTGGTTAGATGCCCATGTAACAGCTGCATAAATGTTTCTTATGGGTACTTTGCAGGGGAATGCTATTGAGGTAGCCACGGCTCTGGTTGAGTGTGCTCTTATGCTGTCTGGAGGGGGCACCTCTGCTTGGGAGTAACAGAGCTTGATACAGTCTGAAATCCAGTGGGAGAGTCTCGGTGATGAGAGGGTGTGGACCTTATTGTGGTTTACTATTGGCAAGAACAGTCTCAGAGATACTCAAAAAGGTCTAGCTCATTGTAGGTAGAAAGAGAGAGCTCTGTGCAGGTCAAGGATGTGCATTTTCATCTAGAAGGAAATGGCGTGTGGTTTGGGGAAGAAGGTGGGAAGGTGTATCGTCTGATTGAGGTGGAAGGATAAGTGTACCTAGGGGAGTAATGGTAGGTACGTAAAGTGACCTTGTCTTTTAAAAAGATGATGTACCGGGGGTTAGCCATTAGGGCTGGAATCTCTCCCATCTGTCTCTCCAAGAGAATGGCTACAAGAAAGACCGTTTTCATGGATAAATGTAGTAGTGAGGTGGTGGCCATTGGTTCAAAAGGTGGCCAAGTTAAAGCATTCAGTACTCAATGCGGGTCCCACAGTTGTGTTGGATTGATTACTGGATAAAGTGCCTGAAAACCCTTTAAAAACCTCTTAGTGATTGGATGTGCAAATATGGACAAGTTATCTATCTTAACTTGGAAGGTAGTAATAACTGCAAGATGAACTTTAATGGAACTTATTGCAAGGCCTGCTTGTTTAAAGTGCAGAAGATAATCGAGGATGGCAGGTAAAGAGGATGTTGAAGGTGCTATCTGGTGGCATACACACTGAGAATCTTTTCCATTTTTGAAGGTAAGTCTTATGGGTGCTCTGTGCCCTACATTGCAGAAGGATGGTTTATACTTGTTGTAAACAAGTCAGTTCTAGCTCAGAGAACTACCCAGGAGCCACATCTTCAGGTGTAGTGAGTGGAGGTTTAGTTGAGTGGCATGAGGGCCTGGAGGAAGAATGTGATCCTGACTGGAGGGTAAGTGGATTGATTGGTGATGCATGGGACATTTTCATTAGAAAAGGGAACCATGGTTGGCATGGCTATGCTGGAGCTATAAGTATTGGATGAGCTTTGTTGTTTCTTGTCTTGAGGACTACCCTGTTCTGTACCCTGAAGGAAGGAAGGAAATGCATACATTAGGTGGGATGACCAGCTGACGAGGAAGGCATCTCCCATGGATCCCTTGCTGATGCCCGCCCTAGAACAGAATGGTTGACTTTTGTTGTTGTTGTTGTTGTTGTTGTATTCTGTGGCAAATAGATCTATGGTGGGGTGACTCTACTAGTGGAAAATGTCTGACAATATGTGCAAATTCGTTTGCCATTCGTATTCGGTTGGTTGGGCTCTGCTGAGTGTGTCTGCCATTGTGTTCAGGGTGCCCAGAAGGTGCACCACAGTAATATTTATGACATCTCACACATGTATTCCTGATTGTACAGAATTCTAGGACATTTATATGTAGGTTCTTGTCGCTGCTGGACCACGGACCCTGGACTGTATGATGTCGTAGGTGGGCGCCCATCTGTCATCAAGGAGATGGACGGTTCTGATGGATGGAAGGGGACTCCAGAACAAAGGTTGTGTGGACTCAAACACTACTGAAGGGATTTCTTTACCAGTGTTGGGAGGACTGGGATTTGGATAATGGGTGGATAGTGGGCCTGTAAACCTGCCCCAGCCATCCCTGTAAACATCTCATGTGAAGATGAGCGTTGCAGACAACAAAACTGCATGCTGCCATACGTCCCAAGAGTCAAAGGCATTTGAGCGCTGTTGTGTGGGGGCTGGATTGTAAGATGTTTACCAACGCCACAATTTTTTGGAAATAGTCCACAGGGAGGAATGCGGTAGCCCTCGTTGGGTCGAGGCATGCTCCTATAAATTGGATCTTTTGTGTAGACGCCAGAGTTGATTTGGCTTAATTTAATTGCAGGCTGAGATGTTGGAATAGGTGTCTTGTGATTGACAGTGAACGGCAGGAGTCATTGTGTGAGCACGCTTTGAGGAAGCAGTCATCCAGGTAAGGAAATATGACAATGCTTTGCTTTCTCAGATGCACTGTGACAACCGCCAGGACCTTTGAAAAGACACTTAGGGCCGTAGAGAGTCCGAATGGAAGCACTTTGTATTGGTAGTGTTGAGCATCTACAACAAATCACAGAAAATTCCTGTGAACAGGGTGGATGGAAATGTTAAAATATGCATTTTGCAAGTCGAGAGATGAGAAACAATTGTCCTGTTCCAGTGCTGCTACGATAGTGGCAGGCGTTACCATCTTGAATTTTCATTTCTGAACTAATTTGTTGAGGGCACAGAGGTCTAAGGTGGGTCTCCAACCTCCTGATCTTTTTTCTGTCAGGAAGTAATGGGAGTACAAACCTTTGCCCCTAAATTGTGCAGGGACTAGTTCGATCGCATCTATGTGCAAGAGGTGTTCTACCTCTTGCTGAAGTAGAATCTCATGAGTGGTCCCTGAAAAGGGACTGAGATGGGGAATGGAAAGGGGGTAGAGATATGAAGGGATTAAGATAGCATTTCTCAATTATCTGGAGGACCTATCTGTGAGAGATTATATGTTGCCAGTTGGTAACAGTCGATGATGGAACAAGTTTGCTCGTGATAATGGCTTTGAAATAGGTGAAAGGCTCTCACGACCCTCGACCTGCTGCTCAAATTTGCTTATTGGACTGCTGTGACTGAGAGTTGGTAGGGGAAGGGCGTCATCATTGCATTCGGCCTCTGCTTCTGTTCTCTTGGTGTTGATCTTGTCTGCTGTAAAGAAGGTATTGAGGTCATTTTCTAGGTGCCTGGTTGTGGATCCCTAAAGAGCAAAGCGTTGTTCTGGAATCCTTCGTGGAATGAAGAATTTTGTTGGTGTTGTCTGCAAGCAAAAGGAAGATCTTTTACCATAGACTGGATCTCTTTGGGGAACCCAGTCATGAGCCCTTCTCATGACTACTGCTGTTGCTATGGATCATGCAGCTGCATTCTGGCAATCATGTGCCCTCCCATACTGATGCTTTGAACTGTTGTCTTTAGCCTTGGGAATATTGGCCATAAAGTCATTGAGTTTGGTGTAATTTCTGTAGTTATATTTGCTTAATAAAGCAGCAAAGTTGGAAATGCAAAATTGTAAAGTGGAAGACTTTGCATCCAAATGAGTCAAGTCTTTTGCTATCACGGTCCAATGGGGTGCACCGAAACTGTTGCTGTGTGGCTTTCTGTTGTGCAACCTCCACCACAAGAGTTAGGTACTAGGTGAGTAAAAAGAAACTCACATCCCTTGGGTGGAACATAATACTTTTTAATCTGTTCTCTCAGTGGTAGAAGAAATTGATGCTGGAGTTTGCCACATCATCTTTGCCGGTTCCATTAATTGGCAGTGCTATTTTAGATGGTGTTACCTAGTGCAATATGTCAGTTAGTTCATGTTGATTCTCAATGACTTCCTGGAGAGGAATGTTTAATTCAGCAGCTACATGTTTAAAAAGGTCTTGGAAATGTGCAACATCATCTGAGGTAGTTGGAGCTGGAGGACACTGATGCTTCCTTCAGTGAGGTGGGTTCATTTGGGTCCAGGATGGTACCCTCATCTTGCATGGGTGGGTCCCTTTCTTGTATTTGTTTAGAAGGTGAATAGAAATGTTTCACTTTGTGTTGTTTCCGGCCGTTGTGGTGCTTTTAATAGGATTGGCAATATTGGGACAAATGGCAATGTGGGTATGGCATAGGTGGGAGTACCCAGGGATTGCCATAATATGGAGGCATGTTCCCAAATTTATGGTAAGATCTGGAAGAGTAAATAGTCTGAGCTCTGTAAGGAGAATTTTCTGGAGAAAACCCCTAGAAAATTCATCTTCAGATTCAGATTAAAATCTTTCTTGAGAAAATGATCTCTTTGATGTTAACATAGCAGGAGAATGATCAGGATCTACAAATGGTGAGTTGAACATAGATGAGACTAATAAGACTCTGTGTTGAGTGTTGTGCTCGGCCAGTGTTGACGGTGCCATAGTGGGGAGGGCTGACACTATTTGAGGTGTTGGATTGTGCCTCGGTGCTGAGCTGAGTAACGCTCCTCTTTGGAGGCGGAGGTGCTGGGTCATGTGGCAGGTGCTGTGCTCTTATGCTGCGCAGGCAAAATTATGTCAGTGCTGGATGTTGCTGTGCTGATGAGGCAGGCAACTTAAAGCCTGATGCTTCAGAGCATGGTTTAGTGCATGCTGCTTGGTTAGCTGCACTGGTGGCTCCCAAGATGCCCGGAGCATCATATGCGCTGAGACATGCTGCCGCCCCTGTTCTCAGCACCGCCTGTAAAGGAGACGGTTGTTTTGGTGCCGTAGTCTCCTGAGGTAAAGGAGGAGGCTCGCTTTTTGGCGGGCTTTTTGTCTCCACGCCGTTTGTCTTCCTTGGAGTGTTGGCCCAAGTCAGAAGCCAGTCTGAGAGAATTCTCAAGTAAAATTAGCTTGAGACTTAAGTCTATCGCACGCATAATGAGGGCATTTTTGAGAGCCATGCTGACCTCTGAGGCAGCGGACACATTGTGAGTGCCCATCTGAGATGAGGATAAGGGTCTTTGCAAGAGGAACAGTGCTTAGAGTGTAATGAGCTGGGTTTGACGCTGAAACAAGTTAATAACTTCAGAAAGGGGTTTATCTGGGAGAACAACCTTGTCCTTAGCTAGTTTTTTTTCTGGGGTAAGGGTTGTTTAAAGCAAACTAATTCACTAACTGGAGGAAAAAAATTGGTTTTGAAAGGGAATACATATCCACTGAGGTGGTAGACAAAGAACTGAGGAGCAGGGAAGAAGGTATTTGTGCCTGTGCAATGCTTGCCACTTAGGAGTGTACAGCTGCAGACGCATGCATGCGTGGCCCCAGGGACGCTGCTCTGAAATCTCTGATCTAGAGCTCAGCAGCAGCACACCAACCAAATGTTGGGGATGGCTCTCAAAGAAGACGAGCAAAAGCAGTTTGTAAATCACAAATCAATAGGGAGCAAAATTTTGTTTTAGAAACTCCAGGTAACACTGAAGTTTAAGCAGTTTGTAAATCACAAATCAATAGATTTCCAGCTGACCAAAAGTAACTGGAACTTTTATGTGTTGGTCTAGTCAGCACTGTAGAAATATATTCTCCAAGGCAGCTCACTTGAAGTGGAGGGGTGAAACTGAGGGCACCCTTCCCCTTTCCTTTATGACTCAATGTGCATATATATTTGAGATATTCTGCTTCTTCTCTTCATACTCCACTTCCCTTTAGAAATGTTTTCTAATGTGTTATGATTACCCCAGACGATGTGCAAGTCATACCAGTCTAAATCTATATAAACTTGCTTTAAGAAACAAAGCTGTTCTCTGTGAAGAAATCATTGACTGTTTAAACAGTGGTAATTACTATCACATTTGTATTGTGTTGGTGCGGTGTTCGAAGGGAAACTTCATCTAAAAACTGGATTTAAGACCAGCCAACATTTTAATATAAAGCAAAGTGACAACAATAACATTCTTTGTGTACAATTAGTTCCTATCCATCTCTGATCAGGCTCCCACTCACCCATATTGGAGTTGCCTCCTCTGAAGCCTATCTCCTTTATTGCAAACAAAACATCTTTTGCAGCAGTAAAGTTTTTCAGATAAAATTCAGTTTTTGGATGCTCACTATGTGGAAAAATAAAGCAACCAGTTAAAAAAACAGACATACATGACTGATCTTAAAATAGAACTGAAATGCCATTTAACCTACTAAGGGTGGACTCTAGAGTTCTGAGTTTTGTCAGCAATGGCTAATGATATTAATTCTTAAACCACAGTAGAGACCCTTATTACTCTTTGCATTGTCTGTGATTATCTCAAAGACAGCAGAAGGAATCAAATTCAGAACAGAGGTCTTAGCAGGTAAGGAGGGGATCTTAAACTTTTGCTAAATATTATTTTTTACACTTATTGTAAATGAAAATAGTTTCAGAGTAATTTAATTTGTATGTATTTTAGATGTGCTAGCTAAGTACCCTTTATTAAAAAGGGGGGGGGGATTTAGCTGCAATGAATTTCATCCCCAACTCCTAATTTAGGATGAAAAAAGATTAAATTAAAAATTAGTTGTATCATTTGAATTTTAGTACCACCTTTGGTCTCACTGGCAGTTGACAAGTACGAAGTAGTACCTTTGGTCTCACTGGCAGTTGACAAGTACAACTGTTGGGAAGCAAAGGCCCTGATGCAGTATCAGATGGACAGGCGAGCCAACAGATTCGCCAGGCCCCTGGGCAAACTGGGGCGGCAACTCTGCACTCCCAGAAGGGGCAGGGCTTCAGGCCAAAGGCCCTCTGCTGCTTGGACCACGCCCCCACTCAGTGCTGGCCAGTGTATACCACCCACAGCTCCAGTGGCGATTTAAAGAACTCAAGGCTCCAGCTGCCATGGGCTTCAGGCCAGTTGACTTCTTTGCCCCTCATCAGCAGGTCTGGAAATGCATTCCTATGCCTATGCAGAGTGGGATCTGCAGAAAGGGATTCACTTGCAGGAAGAGGATCTAACCCTGCATCTTTTTAAAAGATACTCTAGAATCACTGAAGAGCAGTTGCTATGATTCCCCTTCAACGTACTAATCTCCAGGTGACTTCAGTTGCATTGTTCTGCAGGACATAGTCACAAAACAGCCCAGTAGATAATTAATCCACCTTTGAGGACTGATTCTCCTTTCATCCTATTTTGCAGTGATGTAATCCCATTGAATGCAGGAGAGTTCCTGTTCTTTAGTGAAAAGGACTCAGGCCCTGTCTTAATCTCTCCTCACTATTCTGTCCATTCATTTACATAACACTTTCTCTGAAACAGCTGTTATGGCTATTTATAAATCTCCTGACAAATCCCATGGTTTGGAAGGTAAATTATTATAAATAAATGAATCCAAATAATAATTCTTCAAGAAGCAAAGGCTTCTCTGCTAATGTGGCCAACAAGTAATGTTGTAACAATTTTCTTTTCACTGAACTAGAAAGGCTGCCATGGTAGCTTATCATCATGTTGGTAAATTGAAATTGAATTTTTTCACCAAAATTTTTTGGATTCCTTTGTTCCGTGTCTATTTTTAATAGTGTTTAGTATCTTTTTAGCATAACAGACACCCAATATCTATCATTGTTTCTTGTTGACTATATTGGTACCTATAATTCAATGCAGGCTTTTCAATTAAAGATGTGGGAAAGTATTTGTCGTTAATCTACCAGATGTTTCCATTTTTAGAGAAAGCTTCCTTTAGCCCAGAAGCCATTGCCAAAGTGACTGGGCTCCGGAAAATAGTCACCTCACAAAATCAGCTACACAGGACTTAAATCAAGATAATATGCAAACAGACTTGTGTGTGTGGGGTGGAGGTATTTTTAAAGAAAAAAAGATTAGGCTATTGGGCTGGCTGTTGCGGGGCCTGACAGTTTTATAATGTAAACCAAATACAATCCAAAGTTAGTCTTTTTTTCCCCCTATTTTCATTACCATGTTTGGAAATATCAGTTGCTATAAACCGATCAACCATACTCCATCATGCCTACTCCATTTTTGCATAGTATGGAAAATTACTGGTCATATTATCAACCATAGCCAAGTATTAGAGTCTCCATTCTACTGACATCTTCCTCATTTTTGTTCTGTTTTTTAAGATCAAGGCCAGGGCAGGCAGCAAGACAAATGTCTCCCATCCTTTCAAACCAGCTCACCTCAAAACTAACATGGAGAAACCCTTGCTGGAGATGAGAGGATGGTTTGGTCTCTATGCCTAGTCACACTCTGCTTGTCAATTCGTTCCAGTTGTGTTTTTGTGTACTGGACACCCATCCAAGCAGAACTGGACTCAAACCACTAACATATTTTGAACAAATTAAACAATTAGGTGGTTCCAGCGGTCGTTTATTATATACCATTATTGGAATTAGGTACAAATTAGGGTCTTGGAAAAGAGAGGCTCTGACCAGTGTCCTAGCCCAAGTGATACGCAACCTGAGATCTGTGTACTGAGAGTTGTCCAGAGAAAACTTGCTGGTAATTTGCATAGACCTGCCTGGTATTATGGTGCTTGGTCTACTCTTTGTTTTCCATTGCTAACTCATCTAAAAAACCCTAAATTTTTAATATTGCTTCTGTTGTCATGGGGATATTGCTGGATCATCGATAGAAAGGTATGTGTCTGTAAGACTTGCTCTCTATTAACAATGAAGTTTACATTAGGAACATTTTTAGAGACCCCTGTCCTAAACCAACAAATCCCCAATAATAAATTGATTTTCATTGGACATTTCTCAACTACAACAGTTCCTGGGCAGAATATTATATAACAGACTATGCAGTAGTGGTCTACTGAATAGGACTTTTAATATGCTTCAGCATTCTCATGTTAATAGTTTCTAAAGTTTTCTTGTAATGTTGTAGATACCTGGCTTGCACAACTCCCACGTGTGGTCCTTCAGTTCCAATTCCCAGCATCACAGCTACTTTCCCAACAAAGTTCTTCTGCAAATTAAATCTTCGCTGTCCAATATTGTAGCTTCCATCAATAAGAAAAGCAATATCTGCTTTACAGTCTGTGAACGCCCAAAATAATTAGATTAATTGAAATTCGAATAAATGGAAGTTTGCATTGCATGAGTTAGCTATGTGCTTTCCTACCTTTGTTCCCAACTTTTTTCTCAAGAGGTTTTTTAAGTCGTTTACCTAGAATGTAGGAAACAACAGAATTATTAGGCAGCACCTGGCTGAATAGCAATGGCATAAACTGAAGCAAGAAGAGTGCAAGACTTTTAAGACTTTGTATTTGGTGCCATGTAAGAGGTGGCACATATCTGGACCTTCCTAGGAGTATGCAGAAAACAGTGATTCCAGCCCTGCTTCTCCCTCTCTCAGGTGAGAGATAAGTTCCCCATCCTTTTTTTCATGGTTCATTTCAGCTTCCCTCTACTTGGCCAGAGGTTGACATGGGCACTGGAAAACAGAGTCAGGGCTACTCCTAGTGGAGAGTAGCAAGTGAATAACTCGCTCTCCTCCCCACAGTCTGTGTTATAGTCCCTTTTGCACAGGTGGGTGGCCACTAGTGGTGTTCCTTCCCCAAGTGTTAATGTGGAGCCAATTGTACCTTTGCAATTGCCCCATATAGGACAGTATGTACATGTACTGCCCCAAGAGCAAAACAGGACTCAAATTCAGAGTTGTGTGCTTCTTAGTTTTCCCTGCCTGCAAGGAAGCTATATCTTGCATCAGATGCATCACCCTTCCCCCAGCATGCTGGTGCAATGACACTAGTTAGTATGTCTCAGAAGAGGGGAAGCATGAGTCAAGGCTCTATCCATTCCCCCATCTCTTCTTGCCTACTGGTGTGGTGAGGGTGTTACATAACGCCCCTGAAATGGCTGGCCTCTCCTTTGCGCTGCCACCGCCACCATGGGTAGCTATCGCATTGGAGTAAGAAGTACCTTATATTTTCTTATCCTCCTGTATGGAAGTTCAGAACCAGCTACAGACTGTCACTATGTCATTGACATGTGACTCACAATGACAGAGGAAAAAAAATTTAAAGCCAGGTCCTTTCTCTTTGCCGCTCTTTGAATATAAGATCAAGTTATGATAACACGAAGTAGCACAACAAAAAATTGATGCTTTTGCTTCCACGAAGAAAGATGTGAAAAGAAAGGAGCTACTGTAGGAGCCAGGAGGAATTCATGATAGTTAGAAGCTCAGCTTGGTAAAGAGTGCACTTTGTTTTGATCTGTAAATTGATTTGCATGAACCCCTTTCATGTGTGCTTCTAATAACTGCCAGAGGAGCATGATGGGTTAGGGGGCTAGACATCTTCACAACAAGGATTCTTTGATGACCAATGAAAATCCTGACAAGGAATGACACCATCCATTATCCAAGAGCACCTTCACACAAGACTTCACATGGTGACCACTGCCAACATATTAACTCCAATGCCAATATTGTGCCAGAATTTTTTATTTTTTTTTACGTTCCTGACTTTGACCAAAATCACGGCTTCTGCTGTTTCTTAAAGTGCAGTAATTGAACTGCAAACATAAGGCTAAGTGTAAAATTTGCTGGGGAAAAAGCAGACATTTAATTTATTTTTATTCATCTCTGTTTTTCATAAACATGCAGACTCTTAATTGGTAAAGCTATGGTAGCCTTAAACCTTAGGTAGTGAGCCTCAATGGTTTTTCCTAAGAGACAAACCTGGGAGAATGAAAAACATTTCTACAGACTTGTGTACTTTTATCTGAGCAGTTGTGTATTGTATTGACTTTGAATACAGTATGTAATAATGATGACATGGTACTGGTTTGTTTCCTTTTCAGTGTTTCTAGATCTGATCTGATCAAGATTCACTACATCTACAGCTAATGACAAGCAGTCTCCAGTCTGTCCTTTACGGTACACTCGTGGTCATGCCCTAAGGAGCTAAACTTCACAGATATACTGAATAAGAAAGACAAGTATCTCTTACATTCCCTCTTTGAAAAGAAATGCATTCTCCTCATTTTCAGCTCACTACTTAATGGAAATGAAAAGGCCTCTAAGCACACAAACAACAGGGTTCATTCTTGAGTTGTTTGTATGACTCCATGGTGTTCACCCAAGTTTCTGTCCATTTACCACCAGCATAACCAAGATAGGAATCAGCCCCATAGATTACAAATGCTACATGATATTGCCTGTTTAAATATATAGTTGAGTAAAAACTAGCGGCACGTGTAACTTATTTAAAAGATGAGTTGATTTTCTGAGTCCTGCCTTTCAGGTAGCCTTTCACCCATGAGTGTAAATTTCTCATATAGTCTGGAAAGCTTCCTTTGGGAAGAACATCTATTAGAAAGAAATGTTTCAAACCTGTGGAGGGACGTGATGTTGATGGTGGTCGTCCAACTGCTTCAAGTGCTCCACTCTTGGTCCCTGTATAATATTGAAAAGCTGAATTCATTGGATCGCACTGCAGTCACATTACATTAGAGTGTTTAAAAAGTAATTGAGTATTTGGCCTTATGCCTTCAAATTTGAAAAATGTATAGTCCATAATTACAGTGCATCTAGTTTATAAGGCAGGCATGCTTTATAATTTGTAATAGACTCAGACATCTATGACTTCCACTGAACCCATCTGGATTTGACGTCACTCCGTGCTACTCAGGATCAAGGCCTTAATTTGTAGTGACCACTTCATGGGGATTACTAGTATCTCATAGACTTGGCTGATAGAATTTATATAAACAGTTTGGAAACTCTCTAGAATTTTTTTTAAACTCTTCTGTGAAATAATAGTCCAAAGACTACAAAAGCTTTCTTCTGTCAACATTACTTCTGAAACCGAAGTAGCAATGGATGGCCAATGTTTTGCTAAGGGATATCCTCATATATATTCCATGTGACTGAGTGATACATGTGACTCTGCTTGCCAAAAATCCTTTTAAAAATACCTCATTCCAATACTTTTTAGAGAATGAAAGCAACCAGGCACAATATAGACTACTGCAAATCCGCAGATATAGATGCAGCTATCTGCAGCTCAATTTTGTGGATACAGACACAGATGTGGATACAAAATTTTATATTGGTGCAGGGCTCTCATGATACAGATAGCTGAGACTCTCCTTATAGGTAGTTTACTGTACATACAGAAATTCTGACAAGGAACAAGTTTTTACAGAAAGCCAGGTTTTATCGTCTGCATAATGGGAAGTTAAGGAGGAAAAAACTTGACTGGTGATCCTGGGTTAACTGATTGTACAAGCAAAATTCTCTTTAAAGATATGTGAACCTGCATTGTAGAGGTTCAAAGGAGACACTTAAGCACATTCCACCTAAATGTGGAATCCTAAAGTCCTGATCTTGTGAGGAACTGAACTCCTACTGGAGTTGAGCACAGGCCCCTATGGGAAGTTAAGGAGGAAAAAACTTGACTGGTGATCCTGGGTTAACTGATTGTACAAGCAAAATTCTCTTTAAAGATATGTGAACCTGCATTGTAGAGGTTCAAAGGAGACACTTAAGCACATTCCACCTAAATGTGGAATCCTAAAGTCCTGATCTTGTGAGGAACTGAACTCCTACTGGAGTTGAGCACAGGCCCCTAAATGGGTATATGGTCTTTCAGATTACATGAGCCCCTGTCTTCATCCAGTTTCTCAAAAAATGAGGCTAGAAATTTTCCTAGAGGTCTTTGGCAAGGTTGCTTTTAGTACCATTTCCCTATGCTGTAGCATTTGGTACACTCAGCACAGTAACAGGTTGTTCAGTGGGTATTGTTGCCTAACACCTCAATGGGAGTTGAATTCACTTGGGAGCATGGGAGCTGACAGTTTTGCCAGGCCCCTGGGCAAGGTGTGGGGGGGATGGTTCCATGCTCCTGGAAGGGGTGGAGCCTTAGGCAGAAGAGGCTGGGCTGGAGACAGACCGTTCTCAGAGTTGCCCAAAGCATACCATGCTATGCCCCCTGTTCTCCCCAGGCAGTCCTTAGCGCTGCAAGAAGTGTGCCGTACAGTGCTCTGGCAGTGATTTAAAGGACCTGCAGTTCCAGCCACCAGTGCACTAGCAGTGGTGATGACTGGGAGCCCTGGGCCCTTTTGAATTGTTGGGCCCCAGAGCAACTGCCCCTTCCCTCCTTTCACCCATCAATGGGCCTGGTTGGGAGTAAGGTGCCTATGTATGGTTGAAGATCTCGATCTGAGTAACTCCAATCTACTTTATGTATCAGAATCAGCAGCAATCATTGATTGAATAGTTCTAATGAAATGGAAATTGAGACTAAAACAATGAGAAAAGGAGAAAGTCTTTGTTTCTACAGCACGCTCTATCGTGACAGGCTATTGAAAGGCTTGGACAAATTTTGGTTAACATTGCAAATATACATTACTAAATAATAATAATTTGCTCCACTTACCAGCTACTGAGAAAGATGAAGCCCATCTAGTGAGCACCTGAGATTGGATCCCATTGGCATATACAGCAGAGTAGTTCTCTTGTCCTGGCAGAGTCTGGACCCTTACAGTTCCTCCTGCATTGGTGATCACTCCTCTGGGGTAAAAGAGAATGGTCTTACCAGAAGGCAAATTAAATACATTTTTAAAGAGGCAGTAAATAAAAACCCTGAAAGGACAAGGTTCTTAATTTTAAAAATTATTTTATTATTACCAACTACCACTATTATACCTAACTAAGCTAAGTAAAACTATTAAAAAAAAAAACCCTAAACTGCTGAGACTCCATCTCAGGCCAAGGTGGTTGAAAAGGAACTGAGGCTGGTCCATGCACACAGCTCTATGTAGCCAGGGGGCAGAGTATGAGGCAGAGTAGAGCACATGCATAGGATGACTGGCACTACTATCTAAAACTTCAGATTGAAGATGCCTGGGGGTGCATGCACATCTGAAATGGAGCACCTCCGGGGACACAGTTCAAAGAAGAACCAGCAGATCTCATCAAAAGAGATATAAAAGAAAATTACAAGGGGAATGTGAGTTCCCAGAACTTCTACTGATCCTGTATGCTGTAGTATTGTATGCTTAAATTGGGAAACCTGGAACAGTTTAAGAGACTTCTGGTAAGGAATCATGAGGAGTTCTCCCGATCCAACAAAGGTATAGGTTGTACTGTACTGGTCTAGCACTAGCGTAATACTAGGAGAAATCAACCAATTCAACAGTCAACCTCACTAGTTACCAGTAGAAAAAAAAGGAAGAGGCATTGAAGGGATGTATCAGAAGACATTATTGAGATATTGACTATGTATTCATCAATAATTCTGGTTAAGAAAAAGGAAGGCGGTATTAGATTCTAGGTGGACTACAGAAAATTAAACAAAACCCAAATAGATAGTACCATGGATGCTACAGCAGGTTCAGCCTGTTTTTTTTAAACCAGATCTTAAAAGTGGGTATTGCCTAATGAAAATGGATTCAAAAGACACGAAAAAATTGCTTTCGCAGGAGGACAAGGCTCACAGCAATTTAAGGATTTTGGCTTGTGTAGTGCACCCACATTTGAAATGTTAATGGAGAGGGTAGTAAGTGGCATGTGTCCCACTCAGCCTGTCTGTTACACTTATATGATACCTTGGTGCATGCTAAAAACCTTTGAACAGGAACCAACCCATTTACAATAGGTCTGTGAGATGCTGAAATCAGTCAATGTGAAACTGAAGCCAAAGAAATGTAAGTTGTTTCAAAAAAGAGGTAATCTACTTGGGCACACAATTAGTGGGGAAGGAATTTTCACTGACAAAAGAAAATTGAGAAGAGTGAGGGAAGATTTGCTATCAGCCTTCAATTTCCTGAAGGGAGGTTCCAAAAAGGATCGAGAGAGGCTGTTCTCAGTAGTGACGGATGGCAGAACAAGGGGCAATGGTCTCAAGTTACAGTGGGGGAGGTCTAGGTTGGATTTTAGGAAAAACTATTTCACCAGGAGGGTGGTGAAGCACTGGAATGGGTTACCTAGGGAGGTGGTGGAATCTTCATCCCTAGAGGTTTTTAACTCTCGGCTTGACAAAGCCCTGGCTGGGATGATTTAGTTGGGGTTGGTCCTGCTTTGGGCAAGGGGCTGGACTCGACCTCCTGAGGTCTCTTCTAGCCCTAGGATTCTATGATTCTATATATGCACACTTGATATTTGCTGATCTGGTCACTGTTTTTATTACTTGGTTAATGAATTTGGAAAGTTAATTTGCATGATAGCTCAAGATTTCCTTTAAAGATTAAATTCGTCTTGTACAGAAGGCCCATGTGGGAGCTAAGCAGTGCAGAAAGGCTTGTACTTTCTCTCCTAAATGAAAAAATACAATTCTTGCTATCAAAATCTAATTTTTATTTTCACACAACCACTGTACTTAACTCTGATGTCAATGCCTTGTGTGCCAATGAGATGTTTTGGTTATACTGGAACTTTATACATTTTCTAGGGACATCTTTCATTCTATTGGTTAACTAATGGTCACCACTAGTGCTGTTATCCCACTAGTGCCTGATAGAAACAACTTATAGAAGTGTTCATCCCTTTCTCTTGACCAGTTGCGCAGCTAGTAAGTCTCAGAGGGGTAGCCGTATTAAGTCTCTCTGACTTTAAAAATAAGTAGTTCTGTGGCCCCTTAGAGACTAACAAAAATATATAGGAAAATATATTGTATTTTAGAAGGTGAGAAAGGGCCTGTTTGACCTTGTACAATTTTTGCCTGTCTCTTTCCAGAAGGTGTTAGCATATCAAACTGACTTCTGAGACCACTAAGCTATTCTTCCAGGGTACGTCTAGACTACAAGCCTCTTTCAAAAGAGATCATCTAGATAGCCCCAAGTCTTTTGAAAAAGCAAGCCATTTTTTCGAAAGAGCACCCTGGCAATCTGGACGCTCTCTTTCAAAAAAGCCCTGTTTGCGTTCAAGAATGTCTTTTTTCAAAAGAGCTCTTTTGAAAAAAGGCATTCTTCCTCGTAAAAGCAGGTTTACCGCTGTCAAAAAAAACTACGTTCTTTCAATTTAATTTCGAAAGAACATGATGGCAGTATAGACACAGATGTAGTTTTTTTCGAAAAAAGGCCACTTTTTTCTTAAAAAACCCTGTAGTCTAGACATAGCAGATAGTAGAGGTGACCTTTCTATATATGTTGAAGAAAAAACATTTTCAACCCAAATAAAACTATCAACACCTGCTGGAGCAACCAGTAACAAACTACAAGAGTGTCTACAATTCAAAGAAAAGGGAAATCACAGGTTTTTGCCTCATAAAAATTGTTTTCTTTTGGATAAACATTCAATCACTTTGGAATTTATGACAGTCCTGCCAGGTTTTTCATGTGAAGCGGGGCTGAGCAGTTCCACAAAGCTCTCTTCAGTCATGCACAAGCTACTTATTTTAAAAAAATTTATTTGAGATGATGCCAAGTGCCTGTTCTCTTGACTGGGCTTAGCTTTGTCAAACTAACATAATGTTCAGATCAATGCAATTGTCTACGGAAGGACAACATTATGCCAAATCGCAGTCCATGCAAGTGGATGGAGATGATGTTCTCATGCAAGGACAGGAAAAAAAACATGTCAAAATGAAAGGAAATTGATACTACTTTTAACTACAGAGTCAGTGTTCCAATGGAAAGACACAAACATCAAGGAGCCAAGAGCTGAAGCTACACCCTCAACAAAAGTGTGTACTCATTTGACTCAGTACAACAATCTAAAAACAAACCTCTCAACATTTCAATGCTAATAATTTTGTTCTTCACTTGATGTTTATGACTACACTGTGAAATATGTTTTCAGTAGTTAATTACAGGTGGCATGTCTGATGGAATCTAAGGATTTAATCAGAACCATAAGCCATGGCAGCTGAATTAACTTGGCTTCCATCTTTCTTTCCCTGATTTCCAGCTGCTAATGCAACTCCTTCCATCTCTTTTCTCTCCTGAGACCACAAGAAGCAGCAATCCTTCCCAACTGCAGCTTCCTGCTGCTGGCCTGCCTGTAGTCTCCATCTAGCCAGCTTGGCGCTGCTCCAGAGGTTCTGTTTTCTGCTTCCACTGCAATCCAGTTGTTTCTGCTGTGACTTAGGAACTAGACCCAGCAGGAGCAGGCAGTGGCCCAAAGTTTCCCAGCAGACCTCACTACCCAAAAATGCATTCCACTGGCCAAACCCTCTGCCAGTTTTCTCCAAGTGACCCCCACAACAACTCAGAAAATTCACATACCTCTTGGGATTAGCCGCTTCCCAAAGCTTCATACAGCTAACTTGGTCAAAGCGTGACATTTCGTGTGACACTGGACACATGGGAGTCCAGTGTCAGACTTGAATAATGTCCCACCTCTGACTAGGCTTCAAAAGTTATCAAGGGTTTAGCATATATCCTCTAAAAATTAACATATTAGGTCCACAGATGATGTAATTTGGCATCTAGGTCACTATTACCCCAGCTGAGGATATGGCCCACAATTTTGCCTTCAGATTTTTAATCGAATTAATATTTCAAGTGTAGCTTTAACTCAATTCCTCATGCCTAGGCATAATCACCTTCAGTACGTTCCCCTTCACTCCCTATGACAGAGGTATATCTTTTACTGTCTAATCAGAAAAATGTTGACGAAAAGCAGATGTTCTGTATCTCAACAGTAATTAGGGATATTAAAAAGAAAGAAAGTGTTAATAACCAAAATGGACACACACACTCATATCAGTGACTGTACAAGTTGAACCTTCCTAGTCAGGACCTGACAGGTGCCAAATCAGAGAATATTGTAGTAAGTGGGTCTCTTTATTTTTACTTCACCAAGGTGAATACATAGAACAATGTTTGCCATGATGCTTAGTAATGTATGTCTATACTAATACACTCTATATAAGTCTATGCCTACCCAAGGCTTATCAGCTCCCTTCATAACAAAGTGTTAGGCGATGTCTACACTGCTGGCTTTTGCCGGCAAAGTGTGTGCTAATGAAGCACTCATTAGTAACTTCTCGCACCTCACTTGCATAATCTCTGCTGGAGGCTTTTGTGCAAGAAGTTTTTGCGCAAAAACTAGCAGTGTAGATGGATCCGTTTTGCTAAAAAAAAACCCCGCTTTTGTGCAAGATCCTTATGCCTCAAAAAAGGAGATCTACAGATCTTGCACAAAAGGGTTTGGGTTTTTTTTTTTTTTTTTTTGCACAAAATGGCCCTGTCTACACTGCTTGCTTTTTGCGCAAAAAACTCTTCTAGTCTCGGGCAGAGATTATGCAAATGAAGCGTGTGAAGTTGCTAATGAGCACTTCATTAGCATACTCTCTGCTAGCAAAAGCCAACAGTGTAGACATCGCCTTAGTGTTGCTATACAATTTTACTGCATTAGCACAAGAAAATAAATAGATAAAGCATAGAAAACATGCTTATGCTTAGCAGCATTACCAGCACTTCCACTGCTTACTGGACTCTTAGAAGACAATTAGAGATAAAATAGAGCTAAATAACAGCACAGACCACTGAGAGCTAAGACTGGTGGTTGTAAATAAACTTTATGGGACTGCAGAAAACTTGGCAACACTTATGATAAGTGCACATCCATCTAACTAAAATCATGCCGGACCACAGATGTTGTACCAGAGAGTGCCGGACCAGTGAGGTTCAAACTGTATAAGGAATTATTTGGTGCTATAGTCTACAACCATTATACATGTCAAATAGTATTACTCTAGCAAGTAGTCCATTGAAGTAAATCTTTACAGTACATTCTTGTGCTTTACGTTTTTCTGTTTAAAATTCTGTATTGTATTTATACTCACTAAAATACTAATTGTTTGGGTAGCTTCCAAAAAGCATACACAATGCTATTGTACTGCAAGTAAATGCCTCTACAAGCTAGGATCTCAAGAAGAGTTCAGTGCATGGGTGGAGGGCAGTATATTGCCCTTTGCCTGACTTTGGTTGAGAGTGTTGTGCGAGTCTGAATTTCCTCTACACAACCGCCCATGGTCACGCTTTACTAGGTAGAGTGGTAGTCACCCTAAGCAAATAAGCACAAATACCAGAGAAGAAATAATTTATTTAAAAAAAAAAAGAATTATGTTGATTTGTTTTTTAATGCAAAGGTTGAAGCTGTATTATTCTCCTGAATCTATGACAGTGCCATTAGTACAGAATGTGAGATGGAGCGAGGAGTTTTTTTTTAAAGTTTTACGTACATGGAATTTATAGATTGAGATATGCAGCATTAAAGAAGGGAACTGTGCAGCAAAATAAAGAATAAACAAGTCTGGTTGTGTCTATTCCTGCTCCAATATGATGCACCAGAGACAGCCTCAAACTTCTATCAAGTTTTCTACTGAGCTAAAGTCTTTATTGCTTAGCTGGAAAAGTAACATGTTAAATTATTCTACAGAGTAGCTACTAGAGAGGGACAAAGCTCCACATGTTCATAAGTTAATCTTATGGAAGAAGGAGAGTATACAGAAAAAAACAAAGTATATTAGGATGTGAAAAAAGTCCTATGCCCATACAATATTTCTGGGTTGTAAGAACTGCTGGTCAAGGTTCCCTCTAAGCTGCACTGCAACATGGCCCAACAGCTGTTTAAGCAGTCCTGCCCCCTAAAGGCTCACAGCTCTGTGCACAGAGCTGCTTGACTGGGCGGGCCTTGCCACATAGCTTAGAGGGAACTTTGCCTCTGGTCTTAAGAATCATATTACTGGAAAGAGGCAAAAGAACTTCACGGTTACTTTGTTTAACTTGGGCACTTTGTTAGTATATGATTACAGTTAAGACCCAATGCATTTCTAATTAGCATTAATAACTCCAAGTAATAACATATTGATATATGGATAACCACAATAATTTGGCATTATCAGAAAAATAAGAATTTCACCTTGGGAAATTAGGAATTTTGTTCCAGCTAACCTTTACTACTGAGTGTAGTTAGTTACTTCTTTGAGTGCTCCCACTGATGTCAGTAAAACTTCTCACACTTCAATGTACAGTGGAAAGTCTAGGCAGGATTGGGCCTTTAGACTACAAGTAATGAGTTTTACTATTCAAATAATTTTTGTTCTTCTGAAGTGAGTAGGAGCTGGTTTGTCTATAAACTTAACAAAATAAGTACTTTTTATGTAACTGCAGAATCTTTGACTGAATTCTGTGCTACAAACATTGTTAATCACTTGTACTGGGACAAATCCTTCCTTAAAAGCTTTATAACATCAATGATCACCCAAGTTTTAACTCTGATGACTACACAGTGCACAGAAATGACACCATAATTTGAGTAATTTTGTTTTAAGGTCATAACATGCCACATTGCCTAACTTCCATAATTAATTACTCTTAAAAGAAAACAAAATATTAAAAAAAAAATCAAATACCTAAACATTTCTAACCCACACTAAATACCAGCTGGCCTATAGTGACAATAAGAAATATATTCAAAATCACTTTCTTGCTATCCAAATACACAGACTCAGAGGCAAAATTTTACGGTGACATAAGTGGGGTGGTACACATCAAGTGTAAATTGCAGTCATGAAAACATGTAAGTGGTAAAATAATGTCAATATTGATTGATTAACTCTGATTTTGCATGCTGCATGCAATAAAATTCACCCTGATCATTTTTGTGCCAGCTTACACCGGGCTGAAATTGACTTTAGCAGTATTGGAAATGATGTGGTATAAGAAAGCAGGAGAGAGGAAGCCTGCTTTTTTATTTTACATCTTCCCACTAGTTACTTTTCAGGCTATATTCTCTTTTCACTTCCACTTCCCGTATATATAAATTATACTCATTACACCCTGGTTGCCAGCCTTTGTCAAGTTATGCTACTTTCCCATTTATACCAGTTTTAAGAGCACCTTTCCCTCATTATTGACACTGCTGAATCTGTCCCAGAGAGTTCATGGAAGTTACATCTACTTACTCTGAGCTGTATTCAGCCTGATGTCTTTTAATGACATTCTTTTGTTTATTTGTTTTGGAGAATTGCCAGGAATATCTATAATTTGGATGGCAGCCAATTGTAACAACTGAAAAATACTGTTCATTTCTAAAATTGTTCCCTTGTCATCTTCATTAGCGGTCTTCTATCTTACCTGTGAATGGCAGCTCCACAGATGCTAGAAAGGGAGGCATAAACTGCATTCCCAAAGACATAGAACTGCCACAGTGGACAGTCAGCTGGACAGAGGACATCTGCTCTCTCCTTTCTGAGATCAACTCCCCTTGTAAGGCATGTGATGGTAGTGGGGGCTAAAGAGGAAAAGAAAAATTTCAGCTCTCAGGCTAATTTTCAATCGACCTACCTTATCTCAGTTTAAAGCACACATTTTCATTTGAAATTAAGCTACACCCCTTTGTCTTGTGCTGCAGTCTGGCTTGAAGGATTTGATCACAGCATATATCATGAGAAATGACAAGGAAGATGACATACTCTTGTTTCACAGTCATGTTGGAAAAGCAAGAACCAACATGAAATGATTGAAAACAATTAACTGCATTCAACAGAGGACAATATAGATGACACTGGAGGAGAAAGGCAACAGTAGTACAAAGAAGCAGCAGCTTTCTCTAGGGCATATGGGCAGGAAGAAGGCTGCTCAGTGTCAGTAAACCTCCAAATATAGACAGAACTGTCCACTAAAGGAATGGGATCAGGGATGTGTTGATTGAGACCAGTTCCTGGACAACCTCTGCCAAGAGATTCTTAGGTGGAAGATGAAGTTTCCCTCCAGGATGGAATTCATAAGGGAAAGTGACAGTGGTACCAACTTCACTTCACTCCCATTGAGACTACCAGAAAAATTGAGGCAAGTGCAGTGAGATTAGCTAGTCATCTGTCTGTACCAACAAGAGTGAATTAATTCTATTATTGCAATACTGCCTTTGTTTAAGGCATGTAGACCACTGCCATGGAGAGTATCAGCGAGACAAGGTGAATGAGGTAATACTTTTTAATAAACTAATTTCTATTGGTGGGAGGTATGAGCTTTTGAGCTTCACAGAGCTTGTCTTCATGGACAGTATAAAAAGCTTAGTGCAACTAACTGAAACTGCTCTTAGTCAATTGATTAAAACAAAAGTCATCCCAAAATAACAAAGGACACAGTGAAAACAAATCAATCATGTCGTCATTAGACATGGGTAAAATGTAATTCAGCAAATTGAAAACTTCATGTTCGTTTTTGGCTGGGATTCTGAAAAGTACCTTAGTGAGTCAGCTGTGTAACTCCCCTTGGAAGTCTCTGTTTCTTATTTCTGCTTTTTATATTGTTAGTTCAGACATATTATTCTCTGTTTTAGAAACACAGACAGTACATTTTGTATAACAGTTAAAATGTAAATGCCAATCTTCATGATTTATGTTATAAATAAGGCAATCTATTTAAATGTTTAAATAATAAATTTTAAAGGCAATCATAACATTCAGTATACTATTTCCGTTCTATAAACTGTTCCCTGCATAAGATTACTGCTGCAGTAGTAATTGCTTATTTAGTTATTTGATTAGTTTAAAGTTAAACAACCCATTCTCCAGAAAATTTATTTCATGTCCGACAATTTCATGCCACATTCTTCAGGGATGTTTACAAGATACTAGTCTTACACTAAATATATGCCACCTCTCAGAGATTCCCAAATACAGCTATGTACATCACAAGTATGTAAAGCTATTTTCCAGAGAGCTTTCAATTATGTAAGTATAAAAAGGAAAAAGAAAGTTATTTTACAAGATATTTCTATGTAATGAAATGGGTGGTCAAATGATTTAACTGGATGTAGAGGTCTGTTTTAGACAGTATATAGTATTAGCACTTCTATTTTATCTCCATCAATCTCTGCAAAAAAAATTTCATTAAAAAGCAAAAATATTACTTTGTAAATTCTTGAACTGATGAAGACATTTTTCAAATATGAACCTATGTTATAATTTATCTTTAGAGAATGACACAATAGTTCTAAAATGTGAACGGCTTTCAATATGTGGTATGATGGTAATGCTAAAGTATCATAATGATTACATAAAGGAGCGTGTTTTTAAAACTGAAAATCTCGAAGTCAAAATAGACGCACCTACACTGTGTGAGCAATTACTGTGACTGTATGTGGGAATTTAGCAATTAGTCATGCAGTGATTTTAATGACTTGCCGTTTGCAAATATGGTTATGGAACACAAATGTGCATGAGGATCAAGCCTAGTTCTTTTGAGATCTTGGTACTAAAAGTGCAACATCTTTAATTGTTCTATCCCAGGTCAATGTAGTATATACAACGGGTGTGGCCAATGTGGCTTTTCTTCAAGAGCAACATGCATCACTTCTGCCTCACAAATCCAACCCTATTGGATACTAATTTTGAATTTCTAATAGCATATCTTACCCCTGAAATCTTTGCAATGGATTTTCCCCCTTCTCTGTTAACTACTATATTATCAACTATTCAGCCTAAAATGGAGAGATTCTACAAGCATGATCCAAACAGAGTTATAGATTTCAAAGGCAGTAGGGACCATGGTGATAATCTAGTCTGACTTCCTGTAGGCCACTGAACTTCCCCAGTAACTTCCTATAGCATACAAAATAGTTCTTCGCTAACTTCACAATACCCAAACTACGGAAGGTTAGGGTGGGTCTTAGACTAACGCTGTAAGGCCATGTCTATACTGGGAAAGTATTTAGAAATTACTAAATTTGACTTAATCACTTCCAATTTAACAAATTTCAACTAGCATGTCCATTCTGCAGGGAAGCCTCCAGTAATGTGGACAAACTACCTCGGATTTAGAGTCCCAGGAAGCATCGGGGAGTAATTATTTCGAAATAGTGGCACCTGAGCAGCCACACTGCTATTATTTCAAAATAACTATTTCAGAATTAGTGTTACTCCTGATGAAAAGCAGGAGAACAGATTTCACATTCCGTGGCCCATTATTTTGAAATAACAGGCTTAATAGTGTGACCTTCAGGCAGTTATTTCGAAATAAAGTTCTAGTGTAGATCAGGCCTAACTAAGGCCCCTTACCTTGAGATTAGGCTTGGATGAGGAGTGGGGGGCTTGGAGAGTGAAATCTGCATTACACGCATCCTGTAGCAGCAGATTGATTTGTGTCCTGAGGGGTTGAACTGGGCTCCCCACTCTGGGCATCTTGATCTGGCTTCCTGACAGAAGGACTGCTGGACCAGTTTTCAATGCACCAGTTGCAGCATCACTCACTTTGAAGGCCCTCTCAAACTGGAGATTTTGGGGCAAACTCTCTCTTCTCCTTCTCTGGGACAGCCCTGCCCATATCTCTTCAACTTGCAGCAAAGGTCACGTGTGATACTATTAGTAACAGTGCTTTATCTTGGGCTCACAATGTTTTTCATTAGCCTATTGAACAATACTGCATGGCAGTGAGACCAAGCAGAAAGTTAATTGTTTTTATCTCATGTACTATTTCATATTTTTTTATTCTAGATTTTTATCAATGCACTTGACAGCAAGGACCTTATTTTCAAATTAGCAGAAAAGTGCTAGGAACAGAAATGCAGGAGTTGAGAACTTTCTGGATATTCCTGGGTAAAATATCACATTGCACATTTAATCACAGTAGCTGTGTCTATCAGATAGGCATATATTTGTGCATGTGGTTTTGCAGCTGAGCGTTGGCATCTGATATTTTGAAAATTAAACCCATAATAGGAGAGACTTAAAATAGGGAAGGTAGGGAGGAGTAAAATGAGGATTTCTAAGCTTTGTAAAAATCTTTTAAAAATACACTTTCATAAATATCAAAACAAAAAACCTGTTTTTTTAAGTTAACATCTTTCTGTGCCTCCATGGTGCATCTTGTCCTATTTGGATTATAAGTTATTCAAACCAAGGACTTTTGTGTCATGCATATTTAGTGGCACAGGAACATTTTTAAAAGTGAGGAGGCTGAGCCCCTTTATCTCTGTTCAAACCCACTCCCCAGCTGAGGCCAGGTGCAAGCCCCTGGCACATGGGGCTGGCAGCCAGGACTAGGGATAGGGCTGGCAGCAGAGGCCTCTGGCATATGGGGTTCAAACTGGGACCCCAGAATGCAGAGCCCCTGGAACACAGGATGGCAACCAGGATCCTGGCTAATAGATCATGGGATTATTATTTACATCCCTAGCTCCCACTGAAATCAAGTACCTTTGAAATTCAGCCATTTTTTTTTCATTCTCAATTTCTATGTCTTATAAAACAAGGACGAATACTTACCAGCCTCAAAGCAGTGTTGGAAGGGATTCAGTAGTTAGAGTTTGCAAGGAACACTGAACCCATAAGATGATATAAAAATCCTCAGTATTCTCATTAGAGTTCTGACAGTTTCCCTTCCCCAATGATCTCACGTAAAGTTGCCACTGTATGTCATTACATGAGAGCAACCTACATCTGACTGTACCATATTGTCTAGTCTCTGCTTCGTGCCTGCCATTGATATGTATGCATTTCTTACACAGACTCTCCCCCAGCATTCCTTTTCCTAGTTCAGCAAAACTACATCAGTTCTGCTAATAGGAAGAACTCTGCAGTCACAGAGATGGGAGCTAGATTTGTATGACCTAGCAAATGTTCTTCTATTATAACTGTAAATGTTCATTTGTAGATCTCCACCAGTCTCCCCTTGTTATAGTTAACGTTACTGTTATGTTTGTATTGTAGTGTTCTTCTCCAAGACAGCAATTTGGTACTGTATATGCATAATTAGTAATAATTTATAAATTAATAATCATTTTGGCCTGATGCCAAATATTTTACTTTGTTAATTACATGTCTGAATTCAACACTGAGGATAAAGCCTGTTCAATGTATTAAAACGCTTGAAACAAGGAGAGGTTCTTTTAAATATGCAGTGGTTTGACTTACCTGTGCCTAGCTTAATTACAAATGACAGATGTGGTAGAAAAAGGCTAATGAAAATAGTTGTTTCCTATAAGTTACATGCCCTAAGTATTTTTCACTTTATCCTCATTCTATTTCTAAATTAATTTAATAGAACTTTCCCTTACTTTCGTGAAAATATGTTGATACAGGAATTTGAAAATCTAGAACCTAAATCTAATCATGTTGCAAGACAAAAACCTATCTTGCCATTTACCATTATGAGCCCTTTCCTGCCTCCTTTGAACTCCCACAGGCTTCCAGTGGTGATGGGAGTGCACAGTGAATGCGGGATTGGGCCTTAAAAATTTCCAGGAAATGACCACACTCCCACTCAGTCATGGCTTGCAAATACACTCTA